ATGTGGTATACTTATATAAACAACATTGCCACATTTCCCAAATACTCTTTCAATCCAGCTGTGGTTAACATTTTTGGGAAGTAACTCCACATACACAGTGCGCTCATCTTCATCCTTTGGTCTTTCACCCAGAGGCTTTTTTCTCCTGATTCGGGTGCCTTCCAAATCCAGCTCTACAACAGCTGAGCTCTTCAGTGCTCTGGCTATTAACTTCCCGTCAGTAGTCAGTTTTTTCATTTTGTTAAAAGACACGAGAAGTGATATATCCACATATCCATCTCTAGATTTTTCTATCTGCTCTCGAAGAAATCTATCCTTGTGAAGATTTGCATCTCCAAACCAGAAGTCCACTTGTTTAGCAATATCAGCAAGCACCTGTTTAACTCGAGACCGTTTCTTTTTCTCTTCTTTTTTCTTCTCAGTGTTTTCTTCTTCCATTGCCTTTTCTTGATTTCCACGTTCAGTTTCCATTTTCCGTTCAACTCTCAAAATACAGGGTCAGGTACTGCGTTCTTCAGCCCCTTCCGTCTCCCGATCCTTATAGTCGTGGTTGCTTTCGCGTCATAGGATGACTGTTGCCTTCTTTTAAGGAATTACCACAGCCACTCAACCTTCAGCAACCACCATTCTCATCAGAAGCAAAGAACATCAAGGCAAGGCCCTCCACCAGCAAAATGATTATGACTTGCTGAGGGCTCAGATGATCGTTAGCATTTTTAGCAATAAGGAATTTTTTTTTTTTTTTTTTTTTTTTTTTTTTTTGAGTCCAAGTCTCATTCTGTCACCCAGGCTAGAGTACAGTGGCACGCTCACAGCCACTACGGCCTCGACCTGCTGGGCTCAGGCGATCCTTCCGCCTCAGCCTTCCAGCTAATTTTTTTATTTATTGTAGATGCGGTCTCTCCAAGTTACCTGGGATGGTCTCGAACCCCTGACCTCAGGCAATCTTCTTGCCTCGGCCTCCCAAAATGCTGGGATTACAAGCTTGAGCCACCGTGCCCAGTCAGTAATAAGGAATTTTATAGGTATAAACATTTTTTTAGACATAATGTTTTTTTACACTAATAAACTACAGTATAACATAACCATAACTTTTATAGGCACTGGGAAAAATAAAACAATTATGTTACCTGCTTTTATTACAATATTCACTTTGCTGCTGTGGGTCTGGAACCCAAACTGTA